CAGCTATTGGGTGTTTGTGGGTGCTGGGAACAGCATCCACAGCAGACACTGCCAGAGCTTCCCAACAACCCCAGCTTCTTGTGGAAGAGGGAAGAATTAAAATCTGTGCAGCTGTTGTGGCCAACAGCTTTCTTCAGCCCAGGTTATTTCCTTCATCCTTACCCTTGGCCATGGGGTAACAGGTTGGGTTAAGGGTAGGCTGGACTGCCTCTGCCCCAAGCAGGATCCACTCTGGAGGGCTTCCTTGCTCCTTGTCATTCCTCCTGGCAGAGCTGGGTTTGTGACAGAGCACAGCTCGAGCTCCCCTTAGGCTCTGCCTCCCATCAGTATTCCCTGGCTGTGCAGCCCTCTTCCTCACTCCACATGTTAACTCTCCATGCTGCGGGGCTGCAAAAAGCAGGGACCTGCAGCAGCTGCAGCCTGAGGAGCCCCCCTGGGCTGAAGGCAGTGACTTCTGGCCCAACATGGAGCCCCCTGATCCAGGGGATGGGGCTGACTGTCCACTTCAGTGCACTGTTACCTCAGACCTCTCCCAAGGCAAGTGCACGTGGAGCAGATGCATCATGTGCTGCCCTCTGCTCCTCTCTGTGGTGTCACTTCTGTCACTGCTGGTTTGTTCCTGAGCACAGGGCTGACCTTGCTGGGACAGTCTCTGCATTGCTATGCATTAGGATTGCACAATTAGGGATCACTGGCTACAAGTTACCCGTGTGTGGAAGTTGAAAGCATCTGTTAGATGAACCATCAGCTTCACTTGATTTTTGGTTTTCTTCTTTAACGTGTTCAAACACTGGTTAAGATCTTTGATGCGAATGTTGCATTCTAGTTTTAAAATAGTTTGCTCTTCTCTTCACTCTTCTGTGTGTAGCAGGGGCTGCCCAACCTGTCTGAACTTTGGTTTAATGATGTTTGACTGCAGTGTTACTTGGATCAAGATTTAAAGTAATTTTTTAAAGAAAATGTTTCTTGCAAATAAACAGGGAAGATGTTTTGCTGCTGCTCAGCTTGCTTCTTTCTCCAGTTTCTGCTGTGGAACAGTTCCTTCTAAGACCACTGTGCTCTTTGTGTAAGACCTGCTGTGTGTGGGCAGCAGGACGTGCTGTGCTCTGGGCCCTGTGCTTGTGCTGTGCCCCCTGGTCTGTTTATCTGCCCATTATTAGCTTTGCTACTTAACGACAACTTTCAGCCTAAGCCTGTGGTGACTCTTGGCCCTGGTCTCCTGCTGAGCAGGTACAGAGTCCCCTGACCTGCCCAGGGCTCTTCCTGGCTGTTGATTTCACTGGAAAGAGGGATGGCAGCAGCATCAGGGCTCGAGCTGCAACCACACCAGGGATAACTTTACCTCCCAGTGGAGCTGAAGAACATTTATTAATTAGTGGAGTCCTTGAAGGAGATTAAGAATGCTGCCCAGCTGTCACTGTGGCTGGCTACTGTAGGGAATGTGCTTTAGCACCACAGCAGCCAGGAGGGACTTGGTGGCTCCAAGGGACAGTTTTTTTGAAGGAGAGAGAAGACTTCCCTTCCCAGGGTTGAGAGGTTGTGCTGGAGCTCTTGGAGTTCATGCTGCTCAATGTCACCTAAAGACATGAGAAGCCAAATCTGGGCTCTGCAGCCCCCTGCCTCTGCAAGGCCTGCAGCAGCTGCCCTCAAAGCCACCCCAACCCTCCCCAGGCATCAGACAGCTCCTGGTGCTGTAGGACTCCTCTGCCTGGAATCAGGGCAGGTGTATCCCCACTGTCTCCCAGCAGCATCCTGCCTGGGAGCAGCCAGACCTGCTGCCCCTCTGCCATCAGTGCTGGAGGGAGCAGCCCCTGTCACTGCGGTGCCACAGGCACCCGAGGCAGAGACCAGGGCGTCTGTCAAACTGACCAAGCTGGGGGGCTCCATGTAGCTGCAAATACAACCCCGGGCTCCCCTCATCCCTTCTCGAGCCTGGGGCTGGGAGGAGTTAAAAAGGAAAACGTCTCTTGCTGGAGCCTGGGGAGGGAGCTGGGGAGGGAGCACGGGATTTCTGTCTCCGCACACGTTCTCACCCTTCTGCTTGCACTGTCCTTGCTCCCACCACGTGGATTTGGCGCTGCTCCCCAGCGCCTTCCTGTCATTAGGATTCCCTGAATTGCTGCTGCTTTACCTCTTCCAGCGGGGCTCTCCTCGGCCTCTGTGGACAGACGGGCAGGAGGTCCCTGAAGCCGTGAGGTGACATGGTGATGGTTACAGTAACAACTGCTCATTAATGCAGGTAATAGCTGTGAGCAGCACCCCTGTGATAGCCCCTGCCAGCAAAGGGAACTGCAGGGATGCTGGTGGCTGCTGGGGACACTGTGGCACTGCTGGCCCCCCAGTGTGGCTCCTGACAGTGAGAGCTGCCCCTGGTTGTGTCAGGGGGGGCAGAGCCAGGGTAGGAAAGTTTGGTCTCTGCCCTGGGAGGAGAGGTCAGGATTTGCAGGGGGCTCAGCTGGAGTGACCCTGTGCTGGCTGTGTTGCAGCAGGAGCTGGTCACCCGGGCACAGCCCCCCCTGCTCCCCAACACCAGCACCCTGCACATCCCTCCTGGCCTGGCACAGACCTGGTGTTTGTCCCC